GTGGCATGATGCAGTCTTTCGAGGAACTTGCATAGCAGGCTTATCTCTGGTGTCATGGCCGGAACAGTTCCTCCGTTCAGGAGGCACTCGAACTGGGCGTGCATCCATATCCCTTCGTGCGATGCCTCGTCTCGGGCGATCTCCCACTTTCTTTTCACGTCGCTGCTCGACATTGCGAGGCCTCGGAGCGTCGCTGCTTCCGTGGGGTTCGCTTGCTGCAGCGCCATGCGTAGATGCTGGTTCAGCTCTTCATCGTTGCTTTTCTTTTGTTGGAGCATGGCCAGGATGCGGGGGCCTGCGCGCAGCTGGTTGATCTTCTGTTCCATGTCCGGTGAGATGTCGGTTTTGAGATACCCGGCCCGCGGCCAGTGCCTTCCTTCTGACATGTTTTTCAGCGTCTGGTCCGGATCGAACTTGTCCGCATATCCGTGGATCATCTGCGTTACCGATATCATCACTCGTTTGTTTTGCCAGAAGTAGGTGTGCGTGGAGTTGTCGAAGCGTAGGTGTACGTCTCGTTCGTGGGGGTGGATGTGCTGTAGCCTGTCACTGACCAAGTTCTCTGGCAGGTTGGTGGGTAGGGGTCCATGTGGGCGCACTGGAAAGTTCGTCGGTGCTTGGGGGCTTCTGGCCAAGTTGAGCGGCAGTAGGTAGTCCAGGCCTTCGGTAAAGAGGCTTACTTCGTGCTCTTCGTCGTTTAGTTCTGCGAACGTCTCTTCTTTGTCTGCCTGCGATGAGTCGCCGCGCGGAACCACCGCAACACCTTCGTCCATGGCGTGGCGCGATGGCTGCTATTTGCCGTGATCGTGGCTGAGCCGACAGAGCATGCTACTTTGGATGTGGTTGTTTCAGGGCTTGATTGCCGCGATATGTCGAAGGCTTCCTGTGGTGATTGGTTTGTCTTTGTTTTTTTTTTTGACCGGTGGCTGCTCTGGCGCTGCGAGCCTTGGGATTTTGGACATCGGGTTGCTGCGCGGAGACCATGCTGTCCTTCCTTGTTTTGCTTGTTGATGCCCGACGCCTTTTTTTTACCGTCGCACTTTCTGTCTGTCGTGGTCTGACTGTCCTGTCGCAGATGGAGGCTTCGTCGTCAAACTCTGTGGATGTGAGTGCCGGGTTTTTGCGCAGAGGAGCCGTTGTGTTCGTAGCTCAGCAGGACGGGGATGTAGCACGGGATGCTGTAGGTCGGGGCGTGTTGAGGCTGCGGGCCTCGTGGATGTGAGAAGCTTTCCGCGAGAACCTCCTGCGGCTGTGGTCGTTCCGCCTTTTCGTTGGGTCTTGGCTCTGGAGCGTGTATAGCAGGGCGCCATGTGTAGACGAGCTCGAACCACGTTCGGCATGGGAAGCGGTGGTAGCGGCAGCGCTCCTTCAGGCTGTCCTGCCACCATGCGAGCTGTTCTTGTTCCAGCTCGCGGTACATGACTGCTCTGACGAATTGGCGTACTTCTTCCTGAAGAGTGTAGTCGCAACCAAGTTCCTGCGGCTCACCTGTCGTGCGACTGTGGTTACTGTGCAGGGGCCTCTAGAGGCGGGGCCGTCGACATTGGGACGCTGAGGTTCCGACTCCATGTTGGCTCGACGTGGGTGTCCGGGCGGGGTTTCGGCGCTGTTGGGCTCTGGCATCTATCCACGAAGGCCGTGGTCGCGTTCCTCAGGTGTAAGGGCACAGCCAGACGGCTGATCTCGATGGCGTGGTTCCATCTGGGGGCCTGGCTGTTGCGTGGTCCTCCGTCTGCGGTCGCGTCGAGTTTTCTGGTCTGCCGTCTGGACGTCTGGCATCGAGGCTTGCGTGCTGTGGTCGTTGTGCGGCTCCTGTCGGATGAGTGTCAGCTGCCCTGTTGGTCGCGGTTCGTTCTGGTTTCTTGCGCGGCTTGGGTCTGTGAGCTTCCTTGCCGTGGCGTGTCGAGCCAGCTGACGTGCTCTCTTCCTGGCGAGCGAGGCTTCTTCTTGGGGGGGCTCTCTGGTGGCGTGGCCTGTGCAGCCGGCACAGCGGCGGTGCGGGCCTTTGTGGAGCAGTCGCTGTCCTGATCGAGCACAGGGCTGCCACACGACTCTGGCGCTTTGTCGTTCCCCTTTCTTGTCCTGAATGTCTGCCCACGGCGTCCGTCGTGGCATTCTCCGTGTCCTGGACTCCTTGCTGGCCATCTTCGCGCTGGACTGCCTTCTCTGCGGTGCTTGGAGGCGAGGGCTCTTGAACCAAAATAGCTGCAGTGGCGATCGGCTGGGGTGGCAGTTTCTGCAATACCCTTCTAGCATGCTTTGCGGTCTGAGCTGCAGCGCTCCCTTTTCTTTGTGCAGAGGCTCACCGCTTTAGGTCTCGGCGCGTGTTCGGGGCGCCGTTCCCAATGGGTGTTCGCCACTTTTGCTGCAGCTGGACGTCTGGTACGCGGAGCTCGGATTTTCCTGGTCGGGCTTCGTCTATATTGGCGGGAGGGCGGATTTGCGAGGCCGGCGTCTTTTTGTTGATGCTCCTTGTCGCTCTGTGCTTGGCCGCGTGGCGTCTCCGCCGTCTTTTCCCCGCCGATCTTCTTCTTCTGCGTTCTTGCACCCGGGGTTCTCGTCGATTTCCGAGGTTTCGTCATCCTCGCGAGCATCTTGTAAAGCCCGCATTTCTTGTGCGCGCTTTGAAGCTCTGCGGTGGGGGAGCTTTTCGTCCGGTCCAGTCCTGAAGATCTCCCAGAGCACCGTTGCGGGCTTCTGGTAGTAGTCGATTGGATGCGCTAGTTGGACGAGGTTCGTCAGCACCAAGCCGTACAGCGAGTCGCCTTGTTTCATTCTGCCCATGTGGCGGTGTTGTGCTCTGGTTTCTTCGTAGATCTCCTGCGACATCTGCCTGCAGTCTGAAATTTCTGCGTGGGCATAGACGCGACCTTCGAATCCAATCCAGATTGGTCCTGTTTTTGCTGGCTGGCTGCGCAGCTCCATGGTTTTTGTGCCGCTCAGTATCAGCGCGACCCAGCCTTCTTTCAGCACCATGATCCGGTTTCCCAGTGTCGGCATTTTCTGCGACATGTCCTTCATCCCGTCGGCATCTGCTTGTGCCGCGCCGTCTTCCTGCGGCATCACCTCGCATGCAGGCATTTGTCGATGCCGGATTCGGAGCTTTGGGCAAGTTGTTTGTTGGTCACTCCTTCCGTCTTGTGCTGATCGAGGTGCTTGACGTGAAGGCTTGGTTGGCGCGGCAGGATCTTCGTCGGGTTGTTGTTGGTCTGTCTGCGTGGCCTTGGTCGCCGTGTGATTCTTGTGTCTTGGGGGGGGGGGGGGGATTGCAGTCGAGCGTCGCTTCAGCTGGACACTCGGCCTGTTTCCCTTGCTGAGGCACTGGTCTGGGGCGCTGACCGCCGTCATCATTTGCGTGGCTTGGCAGCTCAGTACCGCTCCTTGTGTTTCGACTGGCGAGCTTTCTGCTTTTTCTGCGCTCGCCGCGTCGGCGGGCGCAGGTCTTTCTTCCTGAGATGCGCTGAGCTTGCGTCACTGGTGCTACGGGTGGCTGGAGCAACTATCTGCGATTTCTTCGGTTGCGCTGTGGAGTGTGTGCGTGTCCGAGGCACCGGTGTCGTAGGAGCCATGCTGCCCCTTCTCTAGCTTGTTCTGGTGGAGATTCGGCTTGAGTGCTTTTTTATGGCTGCGGCCGATCGTCGGATCAAGATCTGGAAGGGCTCTGCGAAACTCCGACTTACCCTCGCTCGTGAACTTTTTGTTTTCCTGTTGCGCTGGAGTGCTGAGATCGGGTGCGGTGGTCTGCACGTCTCCTTGCCCGTTCTCAAGCCTTCCAGGATCCGATGCCGTCCCACGCTTTCTCGATCCGGTTGACGAAGCCGAAGGCCGATAGTGGAGGGTTGGCGACGAAGTCCTCGCCGCACATCGCGTAGTGGAGCACATAGTAGTTGAACTGCATGCATTCTCTTCCTCCTCGTTGGTAGAGGCATATGCCGGCTGCACGCTGTGCGTCGACGCTGGCTGCGAATGCAGTCGTGCCGGATCGCCAGAGGTTGGCGAAGGAACTGTACTTGAATGTTTCGGGTGTTGCTAACATGTTATAAGTGGTTGGTACAATTGCGAGGGTTAGCTAAGCAACTTAGGGCCTTTATTAACAGGGTTTTTGCGAAGTTAGGCTAAGGGGTTAGCAACCTGGAAACTAAGTATATCAATGGTGAAATTTATGGTTATGTAATGACAGAACATGAAGATTTGAGAAGTGAAATCTCAAAACTGTTTTCGGTAATTTGCGAGTTAAAAGCAAAGAAAACAAAAGTCTACAGCACAAAAATCAAAGAATTAACAAAGCGAGAATACAGATCTCAGAGGGTTGAAAATTAGAATCAACCCAACTAGCTGTTCGAGAAGCAAACAAGCATGCAGCTCAACTGGCTCCGGCAAAAGCATGCCTGCCTGCAAAAGTACCGTCCAAATCCCATTCGTCGTCTGCGAGATGCATGACATGGAGTATTGTTTTGTTGCATGCATGCATGGCAGCATGTCACGGAGCATTGCATGCTGCATGCATGCCATGCACATGGAGCCTGCTCGAAGGCTTGCATGAGGCTTGCCATGAAGCATTGCATGCTGCATGCATGCCATGCACAATCGAGCATGGAGGCATTCTTGCTACAATCCTGCTGCATGCATGGCATGCATCATGGAGCACGATCGCATGCATGATGCATGTCCATGGAGCACTGCATGCTGCATGCACTGCATGCTGCATGCATGACATGGAGCATGCATGGCATGCATGGAGCATTGCATGCTGCACATGGAACATGAAGGCTTGCATGATGCTTGTCAATGGAGCCTTGCATGCTGCATGCATGCCATGTGTACGAAGCATGAAGGCATGCATGATGCATGTCGTGCATGCATGCTATGCACAACATCGGACATGAATGCATACGTACTACAATCATGCTGCATGCATGCAAGAATAAACACAGATCGTGGAGCATCAGTTGCATGCATATATAAGCATGGCTGCTGCGATTTTCTTGCCGGCAACATCTTCAAGCCATGCTGTTGCACAGGTGGCGGGGTAGCAGGGTGGTGAGAATGCCTGCATTGTTATTGTAAACTACACTGCACAGGAAAGCATCAACCTGCATGATGGATAGGGCTTCACCTGCAATCCTCCACTTGGCCACTTGCTTCACTGCATCATGGGAAACATACTCGCATCTGGACACAACACCTGCAACATAGCCGTCCACTTCGATAAGCCATTGGAGTCGGCCACAGCAAAAGGGGATGGGTGATTCATTGTCGGCAGCTGCATGGTGCAAAACAACATCACCGGTATGCAAGACAGCACCAGAAGCTAGCCGGCACTCTTTGCTGCAGTTGCAGGAATCACTCTCAGACACGATGTTGCTCTGCAGAAGTTGTGCCATTACTTTGGCGGATACGGGGTGAGGCTGCAGGAGATGAGGGCCAGCTCGAAATGGAGTGTCGCTCGAAAGCAAGGCAAGCTGTTCAGCATTTGTCTCCTCCAATAACCCTTGTTCAAAGTTGGTGGTGTTGCTGGTAGCTGTGCCGTATTTTCGCACTGATTTGTGTTTTCGCTCCAGTGTCCAGCATGCTGGCATGCATCGAAATCGTGACAGACATGCCTCAAAATGTAAACACCAATGAAACTTCGGAGCAATCTGGTCTCCCCACCCGGCGGCGACGGTGAGGGACAATGCTCGCTCGACAGTCTGCAACAAAAGGCCTGCTGGAGGCAGTTGTAGTGTACAAGCTATCAAGATGGCCAAGACTTCCAACCAAGACAAGCAAGCTTCCTTTGCAAGAGTGTCATCCGGGCTGGGGCAGCAGGTATGCAAAAAATATGCTAAAGGCTTTGAAATTGCTAAAACCTCAGAGGCTGAGCATTTGATGTAATTTGCCTTCCTGTGTGCCTTCATCTTCTCCTGGCTGAACAGCTTGTGCAGTGCCGCTGCTTTCTGGGCTTTCGGCCATTGCCAGAGTTGCAAGTAGTCATGAAAGGTAGCAGCTTTTCCAGTGGCTTCCAGCACCCACAGGATTATGCAGTTGAGGACTCCCATGCTGCATAAAGAATGCATCCAATCAAAGCAATATTGCGAAGCCGGCCGCAATACATTCAGACTTCGTAGAACAGTGCTCATCATCAGGGCATGCGGCGAGAAAGACCACCCACAAGCCTGTTGCCACTGTTGGAACTTGCTTTTGGACTCTGTCCGGTGTCTTGATTCCATTCGTTCCCACGATTCCAAGAGCCCATCGTCTGTAGCTTGATGGCATGCATCCCATGTCAAATGTTTTGCCGATATCTTGACATCATCCTCAGAGCTTTTTGACCGTAGGGAAAAGATGTTCTTACAAAGCATGCAAACTCTCGAACCGGCATCTTGCCGGTTCGAGTATGTGTGTTTCTGTGCACTTCCGTCCTGAAGTGTCATAGCAAGTGTAAAGAATAGTCTGATGCTTTTGCTCGGCCCCTTCAATGCCAAGCCATGCTCTGGATTTCCGAACTCGTTGGCAAACATGGACTCAAGCAGCAACCTCAAACATTGGCCTATACCAGCCGACACCTTCTGCACCAGTTCGGTTCTGACCGCCATCAGTGTAAACCAATGATGCTCGTTCGAAAGCAACTTCGGTGACAGCTCCAGAAACGAGAAATACACCGCCCAGACTTTTCGCCCTTGGGAGGACAACTGATTGCCCGGGTGTACTTCATCGAAATAAAGGACCCCCCGCCAGGGGGATCCTATGCTGGATGGTGATGCTTCGTGCACATGATTCAACATTTGGTAAAAATAACCACCTGCTGCATACATGCCCTGAATAAGACTCGCCAGGTTGATGCATGGTATGTTAAGGTCTGCACCGGCCAGTGACTTCGCCGGAAGTTGTTGCACAAGGGCCCCATAGGCAGTGCAACTTGCAATGGCCTGTTTCACTGCTTGCTTCATGTCATGCCTCGAATGCTTTTCTGGAATTCCTTCCTTTTCGACCAAACTCAAGATGCAACTCAAAGCTGAGCAAGTAACAAAAGGCAACTGCCTTCTGAACCCATCCAATCTCTGTAGTTTGGCCGAGCGAGAGCTTTCTGCTTCGTGCCCCCGCTGTTGCTTCTTTCTAGGTGCCGAAGATGTCGATGCAGCTTCCATCTTGCTTCGAAACAATGCACAAAGAAGGCTTCATGCACTCTTTGTGTATACAGTTCTGTCTATGATGAAGGTATAATATATGTCTCTATATATGTGCATGCATGTGTAAGCTTGTGTGTGTGTATGCATTTACAAATATACGTGTATGTATATATGTATGCATGCATGGCAGTATATATGGATATGTATGTACATAAATGTATCTATATGTATATAGACCTGCAGATTGTATGTATGTATGTCTGATGTATGTATGTGCATGCATGTATGCATGTATGTTCAAGTATATATGCTGCAACGAAGGAACCTGTATGTGTATACCTATATGGGTAAGTATGCTTGCATATACATATGCATATAGACACACGAACACACGAAAGCGCTTTCATATATGCAGTACAGAGGGTTGCATACCTTTCACATGCAAGTTACTCTTACAAAAACTTCGGGGCAAATGTACCTTACAAACACTCATAGTCTGAAAAGAACCTACGTAACATTGTATAAACCGCAAACACTAAACCGTAATACTAAAAAAACCTTACAGATAGACTTTATAGTCTTCCTTGTGCCCGATTGCACATGCATGCACGGCCTGAACTGATATAGCCATGCACGGACATGCTCATGTAGCATCTGAAGGCAACATGCAGACATGGCAACACAAGCTGCAAGCATTCATGTTTGCCTCGCATTGCAAAAGTCCCCGGCACGATCATGTCATTCCTGACTTCGCAGCATGCATGTATGTGCACACCCTTGCCCCATGAGTGGATCAACTGTACGATCACTCCAAGCTGCATGCAGTTTCTGCAAGCAAGCTAAAACAACAATCTAGCAAAGCTTTCGCTTTTGCTGGTGCATATAAGCCTTCCAAGCTTCTCTACCAACCAACCTCATCCCCGCAAAGTTCGGGTTCTCGCAAACATCACAGCCGGTACCTCGGCATCGCTTGCAACCGTAGCCCTCTGCAGCTTTCTTAGCAGCAGGCTTTTTCATCACTTTCTTCGCCTTCGTCTGATGCTTGTCCTTGTCGCCGGTGGTCTGCTTCTTCACGGGATTGTTCTTTTTGCCGGTGCCCTGCTTCTTCATGGGATTCTTGTTCTTTTTGCCGGTGCCCTGCTTCTTCATGGGATTCTTGTCCTTTTGGCCGGTGCCCTGCTTGTTGGAATTCCTCCCATTTTTGGTCTTCTCTTCAACCTCGATCATTGCCTGCTTCTCGTACTCCTCCAACGACAAGTTACCCGAGCCCGCTGCATGCCCCTTCTGCTGCAAAGCAGGCGGGTCCTGCACTCCCGGTGACGGGTGCTGCTGCTGCTGCTGCTGCTCTGCAGCTGCAGACGGCTGGTTCGTTAGTGGCAAAGCTAGCTGCTTGCTTACATCCTCCTTAGACAAGCCCTGCATGCCGTCGCCTGGCCCATGGTTGCCATCCTTCACATGGTCAAAGAAAGTGATCTTGGCACCACTGCTCGAGCTTTCTTTGCCACCCTGCAGGGCGGCCTGCCAGTTGCCACCCAACAAGCTTTTGAACAACTCGAGGAGTCGGTCCTCAACCTTGTCCACCAAGGGTTGAAGCTTCTTTTTCGAGCAACTGGAAAGGAGCTTGCTGGTGGATCGCATCGGGCACTGGGCTCCTAGCTCGAAAAGCTGTGGGAGATCTACCATCGAAGGTGGGTCTTTGGGATAGGCTCTGGACAGCCAATCTTTGTCCAGGTCTGTAGGGAGGGGTGGGTACTTCTTCAAGCCCGAAACCATGCAGCCCGAGGGCTTGTGGGCAGCGAACAAGAGGCCGAACTGTTGTGCCAGACCATATATTTCGTCGGCACTGGGTTTGCTTTTCCCGTGCCACATGATGGACTGTACGATTAATGCGACGGCGGCCCGCTTCGTTGTTTCTTTGAGAGACTTCACACCGAGGGCAGACAACCTTCTGATGATGATATGGGGAACGTCATACAAGTTTCCTTGCATTACATCCATCATCTCAGCCTTGGTCAAATAGGCGGGGAGATTGACCAAGGTCTGTGGTGTCTTCACAATGGCAGACCCACCTTCGTTTGTCGTACCTGTGGATGCACGAAGCAAAAGCGAATCCTTCAATATGGTCTTCAGCTCATCTGTCAAGGTGCTGTGGTCAACCTTCTCAAGCATGGCACAATAGTCGCCAGCAGTCAGCTGGCTGTGATCACACTTTGTCAACAGAGCCTTGACCAGCCCCTCCTGCAGGCCCTGGTTTGGGTTGAAAGCAAGCAGCTTCTCGATGTCCCCTAGCTCCTTGACAAAGTCAGTGCCATTCCATGCCATGATGGAGATCAAAGGCTCGTGGGACCACGAAGCAACACACCCAAGAAGCCAAGAAGCTACATGCATGTTCATGCATCCATGCAACAAAATAA